TCTATCTAATTTTAGACAGATCTATTTATTGGAGACACTCAGAGTTAAAAAGCTCGTAAAATTATTCAACACAAGTCTTCAGGCGAAGAAATTCAAACATCATTGTGTCTCAGATCTGATCAACCCATATACCAGGGTTTAAACTTAACGCTCGCCCACTCGCAATTTGCGAGTAAAAATTGGTGTGGGCTCATAAAATTTGTAAGTTGCTTGCCCACGTGGCGAATAAAAATTCTGCAGGGGGCCGAATTCATTCCCAGACCCCTTACTGAAAAACAGACATTTTATGCAGGTTTTTGATTTAAACTACAGAAAAATGAAAAAAAATCACAGCAGTATGGTCCTATTGTTCGTAAATATCCTTCATCTTTTCCATTTAAAGTACTACACGATTTGTGAAATTCCCTAAAACGATCGTCTTTTTTCCTAATCCGAATTTCCTCCAACCCTCTGTAAATGGTTGATACGTGAGAGATATACAATTTTAATAACTCTCAACTACTCAGTCATATGAATAGTAAGTGTTTTCACCTATTTCAGATACGTTGTAGTTAAAATATTTAACCTAGAAAATCTTATTGTGTCATTGTCAATTTATCAGTTGAAGACATGTACCAGGGCTACGTATTTATATACATGTATTACCAAGTAAAAAAAAAAGATAGTAAAAATGTTTATTGAATACAATTTTATTTCCTTTGATTAAATATTTATATGACATCTGATTTTTAAAAAGTAAGAACTCCAATTTTAAACAAATGAATTTATATATGTATTTCATTTGTATCTACTTTTTGTCCCAGTATCTATGCTTTTTAAAAAAATCACAGAGACTGTGGGCTAACAAATTTAGCAGTGGGCTCCTAAATTTTAAAAGTCAGGAGCCCACATGGCTCGTGGAAATTTCAGTTAAGTTTAAACCCTGTATACTGTACTTCTTAAATTCAAATAAACTCACCTCATCAAATCTGTCGTTAAAGTTGGTCTTGACAGCTTCAGAAAGTTTATTCAGGGCATTTTTATCCTCTCTGAAATATTATTTAATGACAAAGCTAAAATTCTTTCGTTTACAGTAAACTTTCAAAGAGATTTCTATTTTCTGTTTGTAATAAAGCCTTGATGGACAGAATTTCAGTTAAAAATTTTAAGACTACTTATGGATGTGATTTATTTCTCTTCAAGGTTTCATTATGAACAATTTTCAAGTTCACATATTATATGAACTTTAACTAATTAGGAGTCGGATATAAAAAATTAAATCTGAATTGAAATTAATTTTTGAAAGCATTCACATCTATTTCAATTCATCTCATCAGAAAATTCATTTATTCCAGGTAAATTTTGTATTTAAAACTCTCCTGGAATATTGGTTATTTTCTTGAAAGAAAACATATTTTATATACATCAATCCAGATAAATACAGAATTTCCACTACAATAAACAGCTTTGCCTCTCCAAAGATGTCATGTTCTAGTTCCTACCGATATATTTATTTTACTATACTTACGAGTTAACATTTGTGAAGGCCAGACAGGTAGCTGTTTTTCTGTGCACAACACGTCCTAATCTTGCTTTTCCTTTTACAATGCAGTAGGGTACCCCCATCTTCCTACACAAGGCTGGTAAGAATATAACAATCTACAAAAAAGTATTTTATGTATCAATCACTGTCAGATGCTTACATGTTTAATAGATAATAATAAACCTGTTTAACATATTTTACATAATTGTTGATGTGTTCTAGTTAATAAATTTTAAACTTCACATCATTTTCTCTGTTAAAGACTAATAAACAAAAGTTTGTTTTTTTTACTTTCAGAATTTTCTATTCTTTTTATTCCTTTAATTTGCTATCAAAGAGTATTTTGAAAGTTCCCTGAATAAATCATTAAAATGTAAGTTATTCATGACGTTGTGGAATGGTTAACATTGTTTTTTATATTATATGTGAGACATAGCTTGCATTGAATCAAGTTCATTATTTTGTTTTCATTGTATAAAAATTTATCTATCACTTATCTAAAATTGATCATTTTTTAAAAAATATTTATGATTGGTGGCAAACTTTGGAGCTTTTCATAACATATTTAGTGGAGGACTGAAGGGATCATTCATGAACTCTGAAACACCCAAGTCAGAACAGCTGCCACAAAATCTACTCACTTCAATTGGGTCAACATCGTGTGCAATGACGACCAACTGAGCTTTCTTCTGCTCTACGAGGGCGGTCACTGTGTTGACCCCTGACCTCATGACTGGGGGTCGTTTAGTGGGCTTGTCCTCCTTTCCTGCGGCCCTTTCCTCAGCTCTAGCCTTTAGTCGAGCCTTCTTCTGTTGTTTAGACTCGGGCCTGTACTTGTCCATCAGGCGGAACAGCTGGGTGGCTACAATATCAAAGTATAATGTTCAATCACCTCAAATATCAAAGAGATACATGCATAGTTCTTTTTTCTTATGATATCCAAGTTCAGAGATCAAGTGTGTAGATTTTTTATATATATCATGGAATTCTCAGTGCATTTTTAACATCATCACTTGGATTAAAACTTAAATGATTTTCATAAAAACAAAATTCATTACAATGCAAAGTTCCACATTATCTTGAAGAAACAGTTCTTCAACAAAATCCAATTAAGTTTACAGGTAAGTTGAGGTAACAGCTTTGATTAACTTCAATAATTAAATATGGATATTAAAACAACAGAAAATTTAATATGCTACTTAGGATATAAACTGTAATGTTTAATTCCCAAATTCTTTATTTTCTTCTCTTTTTGCAGGGTATTGCTATTGGAAGTAAGCTATATGACCAAGAGCACTGCAAGGCAGAGCATCCTCTCATAAAGGATATACTGTAAAATCACTAGTTTTCGTAGGGGGTTAATTTTCGTTGTTTTCGAGGTATGAAGAGACCAAGGAATTCAAGTCCACCACAAAAAGTAATATGTCATATACATGACTTTTCAACAATTCTTCATCCACGAGATCAAATCCCCATGAACCTGTAGGTTTTCTTCAAACCACGAAAATTTGACCCAACAAAAATATGTGATTTTACAGTAATTCAATTCATACTTCCAAAAGCTTTTTTGGATAAGTAATCAGTCAAGGTATGAAGTAAACAGATGCCATTGATAGTTTGATACACACTTTGTCCTTTAAGGTATATGTACAAGCACTGTTTTCAAGAGAGTTTAGTGAACAACGAATGTTCAAATGTGTTATAGTAAACTGCAGAATCCAAGCTCAGAGATCTTGGTAGTTACAAATTCCTTCAAAAATGGTCTCTACCATCATCAGCAATTAGATTTTAATCATAGCTTGGACTTCCACAGAAAGTAGTACAAGGTTTAATTTTTATGTAAAATACAGTGAATGAAATGTTATGTTTACAAGCAAATTTTATTTTATTATGATAAAAAAGATTATATATCCTCAGATGTTTTCTTGTACCTGTCTGCCTATCAAGAGCTTGTGATCCACTGAACTGGTTGATGGGGGGAGGGACCTTCAATCTCTGCATCAGCACTGCTTTCTGTCGCTGGAGACGAATGTATTTGGGCCATCTTACAAAGCGACTCAGATCACGTTTAGGCTGAATATCCTGACCTGCAAATAACTGATTTATTTAAAATTGATCCTATAACTGGCCAACACAGAAAATCATTGATTTTTTATCTACCATTTAACTAAACCAGAATTCAACAATGACATAACAGAATCACCCATCTTTATCCACTATGCCAACAACTTTTTTTAATATTATGAAAGTTCTCACTTAAAGAAAATGTACTTCATGCAATCTTACTGAGTATTTAGACCAAAGACTGCTGCTAAAAATGTTCCTAATCAGACAATTTTTACTGAAAAGTGTCAATTTTTCAACTTTTTTTTTTTTGCAACTTACCTATTCCAAAGTTTCGTGGTCTTTTTTCAAGCAGGGGGTTTGCTACTTTTTTGGGTTCTGCAGCTTTCTTAGCCACCAGTGGGGCTGCTGCCACCTTCTTCTTCCCCTTTTTTTTAACAGGCTGCAGAAAAAAAAATTATTTGAAGAATGTCATTATTTTATACAGATCAGGAAACTGATTACATTGAGCAACTTGATGTGAAAGGAACAAATTTCACAATTGTATTCATAACCTGTTTCAAGCTACTTAGAAAGAGATGAAGAAAATACACAGCGATGATCACTTATAAATTCTGAAACAATATGAGTTAAGGACAAAAAAAAAAAAAGGACCCTTGAGAAAGCATGGATGGGATCAGAAGCCTTAGTTACAAATCATGAAATGTTGTTTCCTGGCTGTTCACATTCGCCAATGGCAATGCTGAAAATGACAGTGTTGAAAAATACAGTACTTGAGATATCTACCAAACATATACTGATCTTTGTGCTTCATCATCCGAATAATACTGTTCTCATAATCAGATTTAGAGCAGATTTAGTGTTTGGAAGAGGGGGATGATTCAAACGATTTTGCACACGATTTTGTTTTTACTTACACACAAGGGAGTTACATAGATAGACGTGTGTCATTTCCTTTCTGTATAATCATTTCAATATATTTACTGTTGCTTTTATAGATCAAAATAATGAGGAATGTTGAATTTTCTTGATTTGAGCTGTTTTTCCATGTTTGTTGTCAAATAGTATGTTGACTCAGAATAATTTTTTAACGAAAATAAATCAATGTTGATGCATAAACTGAGTTTTCATACTTCAAATATCATTGACAAAATGAAATATTTAACTAAATTTGACAACAAATAACAGACTGTCTAAGATGACGTTCGATTTGTCTTGAACATAATAATTTCACGTCTTCCATACCATTTTTACTGACCCGGAAGAGACCGAATCTCGTTTTCACAATGTTAAGCAAGTTGAACCAAGATTCTCTTGTGTCAGGGAATAAATAAATTTATGACATGAAGCTTTACCAATTTTTTGGGCACGAAATATACTTTTTTAGAGACACTAAATTATTATTTTATGCAAATTTGTTATTTTCTTTCGTTTTTTTTTGATAGACGAATTCAAAAACGGACGAGTTATCTCATTCTACTTTCGATTTCAACAAAGCCGATCAGTGGGTATTAAAACTATTTTATTTTTTTCATTTTGAGCTATTTTCTGATTTTTGATTGCTTACTTCGGGCTTAAATAAACAAAGTTAATTAAATTTAGCATAAATCAATTCTGAGAAAAGACACAATTTTATCGTCAGTGCGTAGTGTGAAACAAACGGTAGATATCAGTTCAGGGCACAGGGGCTTGTCACGAAATATTTATCTTCTTTTAATAAAGTTACCCCTACTATAAAAATATTTTTATATTAGGGGTAACTTTATTAAAAGAAGATAAATATTTCGTGACAAGCCCGTGTGTTCAGGGTAAGGCCAAGGGTTCCATGTTCGTTCACCCTAAAAATTGTTCGCCCAATTTCCCGTTCGCCCAGAGTCCGCTCGCCCTAAAACTTGTTCGCACAGAGAATAAAATCTAACGAATTTCTTTCCAAAATTTTGGTACATTCGAAATAAAACAGACCGTCAGACATTATGTATATTGTCTTAAATGGTCACACTAAATATATACTCGCTTCTCATTATATCGCGGGTTCCATTGTATCGCGGTATATTCCAAATATCCAGATACATAGCTTATATCCTTTCTGTTAAAATACTATCTGTTTGTCGTCCGAATGTAAACTTTTGTGATGATTAAAAAGTACGGAACATGCGTCGGTTAATTTTTTATTCAAATAAAACGTACCAGATTTCCATTCCCGTTTTTATCATATTTAGATCATTGATTTTATAACATAGTAAAGGCTGTAATAAAGTTTATGATTCGAAAGTCTTTTGTTTGTATAAATGTTTATTTTTTAAGAAGAATTACACCGTAAATATAAAAAAAAAAACATTTAAGTCCATGTCAGCCACAAGTTTCCATGTTTTCCTATGCCGCGATACTATGGGACTCTCCAGTTTAGGAGGTAAATAAGACTTCCCGTTTTAAAAATAGACAACAAATTAAACGATGCAAATATGAGAAATAATTTGGCACTAAAAAGTTAGGCCATAGATGGGTTTATGGATAGTATTTGATGAAAGTTAAAGTAAAAAATTGGATTAACACTTTTTTATGCAAAAGGATTAAGTACCGCGATGAGACACCAGTATATGACCTATCAAAGACCTGACAAACCTTTAGACTTTTAATACATAAATAAATATTGTTTAATTCCTTTAAATCATTCTTTAAGATCAAAGGGAGATTCTTCAAAGATAAAACCTTCAACATCCGCTGTACAGTTCTATAATGGAACTATTAACATCTCAGTCCTTTAATTGTTTTCAAAACATAGCCCAATTCGTAAAAATAACACGGGTGTATCCCCCCTAATTAACATTGATATTAATCATATAAATCATCTAATTTACTCTAGTGCAAACACTAAGTCATTCAAAAAACATCAAATTTAAAATTAATCAAGACTAAATAAAGATTGTTCCTCGTATCAGAAATTGAGAAAAAATATCCCAAGTTCGTAAAGGAAATAAATAGAAAAAAATCATAATATATGTTATTTTCTAATTCATATGACTTTATATAAGTATTGGGTTCACATATAGGGCGAACAAAATATTGGGCGAAAAATATTTCGGGCGAACGGACTCTGCGCGAAACGAACTCCCGCGAACAGGTAGATCGGGCGAACGAACCCGTTACCCAGGGTAAGACATTATTTATGCTTAATCTTAATACCATCAAAGTTTGACCTGTGCTCTCTTTTATTTTAGAAAATTATCACCATAATGTAACGTTTTGGATCTTGGAGGAAAACATTCCAAAATGTCTCAGGCGAGGAGCCTGCCTCAGAGCAAAGAGGCCCTTCTAAAGTCTTACAACAAAAAGTTAAAGGATAACATCCAGTCAATGCTTGTCAATTTTGAAGAGATAATCAAACTAGCCAGAGTAAGCTTAATGTTATTGTTGTTTTATTATAAATCCATGGATTTCCTTAAAATTCTTTTTATGATAAAACTTTTTTTTTAAATTAATCATTCCTAATATTTGTTTTTAGGCTAATAAGTTAGCAGTTAGAAAATTATTAAAATATATCATATAAATGTCATTTTGAATTATATTTATGATACAAATGCATATCTTAAAAAGAAAAAAATCTTTTAACTCAGATGGATGAAGATTCACAGATATCCAAGTATACACAGACAGAGGAAGATCAGTATGAAATGCAGGTCCGGGCAGCCAATATAGTGAGTTTCATCCTCTCCAGCATTTCCTGCTTATTAATAACTTATCCATTTTTCATTCAAAGTTTAAAAAGTTACATTTTAAGATTAAATTCTTTCTTGATTTGAAATAATTTTTATGTGAAGTTTTTTGCAACTTTCTCCAAGAGGAAATTTATACATGTAACTCTTTTTAATTGATAGTTCATCCTTTCTTAATTTGCTGACACAGCTCTAAGAGATAGAAATGTTTAATGAAATAGGCAGTACAGTGTACTTTCTTCTGCTAAAATATTCTCTGATGTGATACTGCATACAACCTCATATGACTGGTTGATGTGATGTGACTTACTATGACATAGGCTATTAAAGTCAAGCTATCAATGAAATTGTATGAATTTTTCTGTGTAGGTGAGAGCAGGAGAATCTCTGATGAAGTCTGTGTCTGATCTGAAACAGTTTATGATTCTGAATGACTTCCCCTCTGTAAATGAGTCCATCATCAGGAACGCCAAGAACTGCAAGTCTCTCCAGCAGGATCTGGATAACAAACTCACCTCCCTCAGGGACGAAATGGCCATCGACTTGTTTGAGCTAGAAGATGAATATTACTCATCTGCCTTCAAGTGAACCTCTTATAGAATATAGACAAACACATTGTATTTTTTAATGGAATTTCCATCTGTAGTGACCCTTAATATGTTCATGTATGATGTGTGACCATTTACTAGTTGATTAAAGATTTCAATTTTTAATAAAATTGATATTCAATGTAAATATCTTTCTAGCAAGAATAATTTTTTTGAACCAAAAGGCATTCATGTCAAATTCATGTCATAGTAAATATAGTATTGTTAATTGTTAAAGCCAGGTATGAAGTTGTCAATGAATTTTATCTGAATTTCAGTATGTACACTGTAGAGATGACATGGATTATCAGATTAAGTTTAATCACTCTAGTTGAGTAAAGTTTGATTGCAGGAAGACGAGTTTACTATGCTTCTTTGTACAATGAAGCAGACTGGAATGATTCAATTACAAATAACTTATGACACACCCCTGAATAATAAATTTATTTCTTTACGTTTTTACTTCGGTATTCTCCGTGAAACTGCGTATCTTAAGAAACTGGTTTTTCATGCACGAGCGATTTAGCACTCACTATAAATACTTTACCAGGAAATGTTCGATTAATGCGACGTTCGTTACAAAGAATCGCAGGTTGTTTTGTGTCTTTGGCATGTTTAGATTAGAGTTTTATTTTCAAGTTCAACTTCTAAAAGAGATTTCCTTAAAAACAACGTACAGAGACAAGCTTCAATTCTGGTCAGGATTTTGATGTCAGTGACGCTGTCAGTTTATTAAACAGCAGTTTCATCTCAACGAGGAGAGATTGCGAGGTTCAGAATGAAGTTGAGTATAATAGTCATTTGTTAGACTATAAATCTGACTTTGACAAGTCTGCTAAAATTTCAATTGTTTCAGTTTAAGATTGTTTAAAAAAAAAAAAATCTCTTGAATTATAAGAATGCTATAAAACAAAACAATAATATTTTAAATGTTATCAAATTTGGTTAGAGTATAGAATTTATATCATATTCTAAAGTTGTATATTTGTCTAACAAAAAATCAATATTGCAGAGCGCCCCCTCCCCCGTTATTGAAACGTACATTTTAGAATTGATGAGAAGAGTTAGCCATCGAATGATTTTAACCGCCAATTTTGTTAATCCACTGAACGTTTCGGTGCCATTGAATAAAAAGAAAAGGTTGATTGTTGATTTTAGACAAGTGAATGCATGCGTTTTATAGAGAAATTTCAAATTCGAGGGTCTTCAGAGGGTCTCAATTTTGCCAAAAGGTTTATTCATGATCAAATTTTATCTAACAAGTGTTTATCATCATGTAAATGTAACCTTGAACTTCAATGGCCCAAAGCGTTATTTCGTATTCACAGTCCTACCCTTCGGTCTCAATAGTGCTGGTTATATTTTACTAAAGTATTTAGACCACTAGTATTGTATTGGAGAGCTAAAGCATATATATGGAGTTTTAATGTATTTAGACGATGGTTGGGATTGCGATTCCAAACAAAACTGTATTTTATTTTTACAGAATATTCAAAAACATTTGTTGCATGCCGGTTTTCTTATTATTGATGCTACAAGTAAGAGTCCTGTGCAAAGTTAGAATGGCTCGGTTTTGAGTGGAATTAAGAAGTCGGTTTTATTGGTATCCCTCGACATAAATAAGAAAGTTTTGTATAGCAAGATAATAATAATTAAAAAAAAAAAAAAATGTCAATGCTTATTGCTAATGCATCATGTTGGGATGAAAATATTAAAATTTCACTGCTTGTAAGGTGTGAGCTAGAGTTCTTTTGTTTAAAAAAAAAAAAAAAAAAAGCATATATATATTCCCGCCAGGGTTATTTCCCCACGGTATCGCATACGGAACGCATTGTTTTTACTGATGCTATTGATTTCGAAGGGGGTGGAGTGATGTTTGATTCGACTAAGAAAGTTTTGCATGTTATGTGGGCCGAACCAGAGAGAGTTCGAAGTTCAACTTTTAGAGAACTTAAAACAGTTGAAATGTTCGTGAAAATTTTTGGGTTTTTTTTTTAAAATAAAACTTGTAAAACTACATATACACAATCAAAACGATGTTACATGTAGAATTTCGCAGTTCGGCACAATGAATTCGGATTTTTTATTTCTTGCTTTTACTATATTCACTTTTTCTGTAGGTTGGGTTTCACCAGAGCAAAAAGTGGAAGCAAACTTTGTCGCTTGGGGCATAAGCAATTATATTGTTGCATTTTTCAATAAGGTTTGGGGACGTTTTATTTGCGATATCTTTGCAAATTGAAAAAAAAGTCAAAAAATAAATAAATAAATAAAAAAAAAAATTTTTCTTTGTTTAGGATTCATGGAACAAGCGCAGTCGATGCATTTTCTTTCGACTGGTCACAGGATTTGGATTGTTCCTCCCATTTATTAATTTGATAGGGAGGTCACTAAAACATTTACATGTATTAAATTACGGTTCTACAGTGTATATGGAATTCAGCAGCTTTTTGGTCTTCCTTGATCAAAAAAAAAAAAAAAAATAAATAAATAATAAAGTTCTTGTGGTTTGTAAGATATGTACGACGGCGTATTAGTGCCATTTTAACAATGTAGAATTTTTTTTTTAAATCGTTGGTACAATTTAATAAATCGTTTGTACGATTTAGTAAATCGTTTGTACGATTTAGTAAATCGTTTGTACGATTTAATAAATCGTTTGTACAATTTAGTAAATCGTTTGTACGATTTAATAAATCGTTTGTACAATTTAATAAATCGTTTGTACAATTTGTTTGTTAAATCGTTTGTACAATTTATTAAATCGTTTGTACGATTTAATAAATCGTTTGTACAATTTAGTAAATCGTTTGTACGATTTAATAAATCGTTTGTACAATTTAATAAATCGTTTGTACAATTTGTTTGTTAAATCGTTTGTACAATTTATTAAATCGTTTGTACGATTTAATAAATCGTTTGTACAATTTAGTAAATCGTTTGTACAATTTAATAAATCGTACAAACGATTTATTAAATCGTACAAACGATTTATTAAATTGTACAAACGATTTATTAAATCGTACAAACGATTAAAAAAAAAATTCTACATTGTTAAAATGGCACTAATACGCCGTCGTAGTTATGAGTATTAAAAAAAAAAAAAAGTTCATGTTCTGATAAAAATAACGTATTTGCTGCTAACAGATGTAGTAATTTTATAGCACCGCAATTGGATGCTTCGTAATTAAGTCATTGTAACAGTGAAATATGGACATAATAGTACACAAAGGTTGACTGCTAACCAGTGTACAATATGCATGCATACTGAAATGAAATGATTGGATGACTGTTATCCAATAAGTGGTAAGATATTTACAAATTAATCAGTAATGCTATAGCACTGGGATTGGATGCTTGGTAATTAAGTCACTTTAACACTATATATAAATATGTTCATTTGCATGCTTTGATCGTGAAATATGGACAGAATAGTACACAAAGGTTGACTTTTAACCAATGTACAATGTGCATGCATACTGAAATTATATGATTGGATGACTGCTATCCAATAAGGAGGACTGCTCTCCTAGATTTGAATGATTGCAATACAAATATATGATTATAATCTAACATGCTGGTTCTGAAAATCATATACTAGAATTTTGATGACTGATTTTTAATCATGGAGGACTGCTCTCCTATTTATGATGTTGAACACTATATTTATATGTTCATTTGCATGCTTTGATCGTGAAATATGAACAGAATAGTACACAAAGGTTGACTGTTAACCAGTGTACAATGTGCATGCATACTGAAATGAAATGATTGGATGACTGTTATCCAATAAGGAGGACTGCTCTCCTAGATTTGAATGATTGCAATACTAATATAAGATTATAATCTAACATGCTGGTTCTGAAAATCATATACTAGTATTTTGATGACTGATTTTTAATCATGGAGGACTGCTCTCCTATTTATGATTTTGATGATAAAGTTGCTTGTAAATATGTGTGATATAATATCGTGGCTATTATTGGTTACTGTACAAATTTGGTTTGAATTTTAATGTGCTTTCATGTTAATATATATTTCAGACTTTGAAGAATTATCAAGGCCAATGGAGAAATATTGACAAGTTTAAAGTCGATTTTCCTTTTAGCTACATAGTGGAGTCTTTGCTGCATATCGTGAGAAATACAAAATCTCAGTCAACGAACAAGATCTACGACATATATTTCTCTAAATTCAGAGACTGGTGTTCGAAGCATTTATTTACGCATCTTCCTGCATCAGTGTCTATTGTCGCTATTTTGTGGGAGGTTTGGTGCAACAGAGGGGTATCAACGTCGGTTCTGGAAGCGTATTTCTACAGTCGGACTCATGAATTTTCTTCAAACTTGAATCCATGCGAGGATAAGTTCCTTTGTGATGTGTTTATTGTGTTTTTCTGGTATGAAATATTCGATTATGTGATACCAAATGGAAAAGTGTTCACATCGAAATTAATATTCCCAGAAGCAAAACGGATATCTACAGGAGAGGAAATTCGGTGATATACGCAAAAACTGGAAACGATTTGTGTCCTGTGTTTTGGTTAAACATTGATATGTCTGAGATGGATGTCTTCCAATTATTACATGTTTACAGATGTAAATTTTGTAAAATCCCTCAATAAATGCAAAGTTTCAAATAAACTCAAACCTCTGCCATATACAAGAGCTAGGAAAATATTGTCTTCTTTAAATGAAATTGGCCTTGACATTTTTAAATATGCTTTACACAGTTTACGTAGCGGAGGAGTTACAGCCGCTGCTAATAATAATGTGTCTGTTCGATTGCTTAAAACACATGGTAGGTGGGTCACGGATAAAGCCAAAGACGGTTATATAAAAGCCAATCTTGAACATAAAATTCTGGTTTCAATGTATCTTGGATTATAAAATTATTTTAATTTATTGCACCTACTGTCCTTTGTTTAATGCGATTTGTAACGAACGCAACAATCCTACAGTATATTATTTTTCTTTGTTTTTCAATAAATTAGTCAAGAAAATATTTATTTGCGGAGGAGTGAAACGAGGGAGAAAATAAATTTATTTCTTTACGTTTTTACTTCGGTATTCTCCGTGAAACTTCGTATCTTAAGAAACTGGTTTTTCAT